TTTTTTTTATGTATGTGAAATCGGGATAAGTAATTTACAGAGACAGAAACTAGATTAATGATTTTGTGGGGGATATGTCAAGGGAGGTTGGGGGGAAAATGGAGAGCAAATAATAATGAGTACAAGAATGAAGAAAATGTTCTAAACTGCAGCAGTGTTGTACAACTCATTTGAAATATAATTGAACTCTTCAATTGTATGATAGGTGAAACATATGTCAATAAAACTATATTTAAAAAACAAAAAAAACTTACCCAGTAAGAAAAGGGTACGTTAAAATCTATCGCTATTAAAAAAACACAATATCAAAATGTAAAGCTATTGTTCTTGACATATCCTCCATTTTCTGTCTAGGTCTGTATAAGACTGTGTTGCTATCTCTAACCCTTTTCTAAAGGGTTCTTCTAACCTCCAATTTACACTACAGAAAAATGGCAATTTTGTACCCTGCAGAGAATCAAATCATGTTCCTTTTCAATCTTCTTTGAGCTTGGGAGCAAAAAGTCTGAACGGGGGCAAGCTTAACTCTGTAGGGTAAATAGTATAATAATCTCACAGGACAGCCCTTGTTGGTGGATAAGGTATAATCTCAATAGGACAGCCCTGGCTCCTCGCAAAGGAATAAGAAAATGCATTGTCAAGATGGGGAAAAAAATAACTTGGTGCAAGTTTCCTGGCCTTTTTCCTCACCAGTGCAGTTTTCGGTACTCTTAAAATTTCTTAATAAACCCCTGTGATCATCTTATAGCCTCCAAGAAGATCAATCAAAATTGCTCATTACTGCCATAACGTTCTGAGCTGACTTTTCTCCTTGGAATTTAACTGGCCCATCAGGCCCCCTGGGAAGTCATGGTTAGCTTGTTTCTTTTTTTGGAAGGTAGCCTGACGAGGTTAAGTGTATTACTGGAGAAAACTTGTCTGTAGCCATCCACTAATCACAGAAACTTAGTTTTGTTTGGAATAAGCATGTGTTTATGTGAACTAGTCTCTTAATTGTAATATTTTTTTGACTTATCCTTGTAGAACTGATTTCATTCTCTTCTACTTTTATGGAGAGTTTGTCTGGATTGGCAGGTTTTGCTTTAAAAACCATGCTTTCCCAAGAAAACGCAGCGTGGCAGCCAATTCGACCCGCGTGAAGGACCTGCTTCCAGTGGAGGTGAAACAGGGCCACAGGCTGCCTCTTTTCAGTTTTCTGACTATAGACAAGTGTCTGTCCGCCCCCGGCCCATTTTTGTGCTTTTTGTTGGCAGTCTTGCTGTTTAAAATACCTCCCAAGCATTGGGCGACAGTCCTGTCCCATATTCCTAAGTGTAAAAAGGCTGTGCTATGCCTTACAGAGAAAATATGTGTTTGAAAAGCTCCGTGCAGGCATGGGTTACAGTGCTGTTGACCATGAGTTCAATGTTAGAGAATAATATGTATTCAATAAATTTGTCTTTAAACAGAAAGGCACATAAAACCAGGTGATAGTGATTGGCTGACAATGTTGTGACCAGAGGCTTGTAGGAAACAACCTGTATTTCCCTGGGAGCAGCGGTTTACTGTTCACTAACTTGGTCTTCATGGTGCCACCTTATAGACAAATGTACAAATGAGAACTGAATAAAAAAAGTAACAAACTTTTTTGCTTAAAACTAGTGTTTATTATATTCTATAAGTTTAGTGGGATAAAAATGTCAGATCTCCCTTCTATTAAGATGTAAGTCATTAAATTCCTCTGCCCTCTAGTTGATTTCAGTTATCACTATAAATATACCTGCTAATGTTCTTAGATACTGTTGAGTCCATTTTAGACCTATAGTAACCCCTGGGTGACCAAGTAGAACTGTCCCATAGGAGTTTTTTAGGCTGCCATCTAGGAAAGCAGATTGTTAGGTTTGTCTCCTATGGAGCCATGGGGTAGGTTTGAATTGCCAACCATTTGGTTAGCAGTCATGTGTTTACCTATGTGCCATGAGCGCTCCTTATATCATTTAATAGATGTTTGGTCTTTTTTTCTTTCCATTCAAGCTAGGAAGTTGATTTTTACCACCATTATTTTTATTTCTTTGAATTTTTTTTTCCAATTAATTTTGGTCAATGAAATATGATCATGGTCATCAACCACTGAAATACGTATATAGTCATGCACCACAAAACATGTTTAGCTGAAATATGTTCATGGTCCCTGAAGGTTATAACAGACTCCAGAAATCCCACCTGAAGAATGCAATGTAGCAGATATTAGCAGATATAGAAAATGTAACGGTTTTCTGCATACTCCAAGTGTATTCCATGTCTGATATATCCAAAGTAAATTCTTTGCCAGAAGTATAATAGAAGAATGCGTCTAATACGTTGTATAATACATATGTCTTGATAGTCATAAATACCAATGTTACTGGCTTATGTATGCATTGTACTTTATTGTGATGTAAATATGAATTGTCCTTACTTACAAATAAATCTTTTTTTTTTAACTATGTTTCGGCTCATAGGCAGCAGCTTCCAGTTTTGTATGTCTCATGTCTCCAGTGTTGTAGTGTTATCTCTCTGTTTAATTTTCTTTGAAAAACATTACCATGAAGTGCTTCGTGGCTCCCAAATGCAACAAACCCAGTGTTGGTGACAGCAGGAGCAAGAGCCAAAGAAGTATTGATTTGGAAGTGAACCAGAAGGTTATTAAGCAGCATGAAGGTGGAAAATTGGCAAAGGCAATTACGATTTATGCAGATCATTTTCAACAGTCACCATGATTGTCAACAAAGGAAACATTCTCCATGCTATTAATGGATCTGCTCCACTGAAAACTACAAGGCTACCAAAAATGTGGGAAAGGACCTGTAACTGTTATGGAGAAGTTGCTAATGATGTGGCTTGAGGACCAGATAGAAAAGCAAATACCTCTCAGCACATTGACAATCACTGCTAAGGCATGAGCCTTGTTCAAGGTGCTTAAAGGAAAAGCAGGACCAGACAGCGGTATCCTGTTTAGTACTAGCTCTGGGTGGTTCAATGCTTCAAAGAATGATTTTCGCTGAAAGTGAGTGGTGAGTCTGTAAGTGCTGGTGTGCAGTGTGCAGGCAGCAGAAAAACTTATTTGAGACCTTAGGTCAAATAATTGTACAACGTTAGCTTATTTAACTCCCATACCTTTGCAGATAACTGAAATGAAATACTGTATGTGTCTAGTACCTTGGCTGTTTAGTTGATAGAGGAATGCTACAGTATCCCATATACCTTTGCTAAGTACATAATATATTCTCACAAGGTCCAGATCACAAAGTGTCGTGTTTCACAGAACAAGTTGTGGCTATTCAGAGATGCATAGCCATGTTTTAATGTAGCTTTTGTGATATATCTGCTAGAATAATTTAAGTGTGGAATTTTGCCTCTTGTTGATTTTGTATGGAAGAGCATAATTGGTAGCCCTTCAAGTACTTTTTCCTTACCTTTTAAACAGGATGTAAATTCTGGGAACATGATTTTGAATAAGAAGCAAGAGCCACTTAATGGTGTAGATGAAAGATTCACTTTACTGAACTCCAAGCCTTCAGCAAAAGCAAGCAAAAAGGTTGATTTGTCAATGGAACATATTGACTTGGTTTCTGAAAGGTAAGTGTTTCTGCAAAAATGTACCAAAATGTGTCTTAACTACGAACCAGCAGCAACATAGCTCACAAAAACTTGGTTTCTCTCTCTCAGTGTATGTTCATAGCCATTACAATTAAAGAGTCTTACATCCTGCCCTTATTTTTGATTATTTGTATGGATTTTTACCCCATAGTAAGATGTCTTCAAAGAGAAAGAACAGGGCCAGTCCCACTGAAAGTATCAGCAAGAGGCACAGGAATGCCATCAATCTAAACATAAAAATGAACATCATAAGAGCATATGAATCAGGAAAGAGAGTGAACACTATAGCACGTGAACAAGGCATGGCTCATTCCACTGTGTGTAGCATTCTCAAGGATAAGCAAAGAATCAGCGAGGCGGTGAAAGAATCGTCAGGAATGAATGCTGTGATAACAAGACAACGAAAAGGCTTAATCCATGAAATGGAAAAGCTCCTCATACTTTGGATTGAGGATCAAATTCAAAAGAGGATACCAATTGGCCTTCTTAAAATCCAAGCGAAAGCCCGCAGCCTCTTCAGTACTCTCAAGGAGCGTGCAGGTGAGGCGTGCAGCGAAACGTTCACCGCGAGCCACGGCTGGTTTTTCAGATTCCAGAGACGATTCCATCACCACAGTGCCCACGTAAAGGGGGAAGCTGCGGGCACCAGGGAGGGAGCCATCCAACTTTTTAAAAGCGAATTCAACAAAATCGTCTCAGAAGGGAACTACTTGCCCGGACAAATATTTAATGTGGATGAGACCCGATTATACTGGAATAAAATGCCAGAGCAGACGTACATTTATAAAGAGGCCAAAGCAATGCCTGGATTCAAGGTATTTAAAGACAGAGTAACTTTGTTATTAGGTGGAAATGTTGCCGGGTTCAAGCTGAAGCCATTTATGATTGATGAAGCTGATAATCCATGCGCATTCAAGAAAATAGCCAAGCAATTATTGCCAGTGTATTATCGATCCAATAGGAGGGCTTGGATGACACAAGACCTTTTTGAGGACTGGTTTTTCAATTGCTTCATACCCCAAGTAAAGGACTATTGCATGCTGAAGGGAATTCCTTTTAAGGTTCTCCTGCTTCTTGTAAACACACCTGCACATCCCCTGCAACTACATAATCTCCACCCAGACATAACAATAGTTTATTTACCCAAATACACGACTTCCGTTCTGCAGCCAATGGATCAAGGTGCCATTTCCATGTTCAAAGCTCACTATCTACAGTCACTGTTTTCCAAAGCTATAGCTGCAACCGAGGATGGGAAAGCAACACTGTGTGAGTTTTGGAAAGACTATAATATTTTCCATTGCATCAAAAACATCGCAGCAGCATGGGATGATGTTAGTGTAGAGTGTATGCAAGGGATTTGGGATAAGTGCTTGAATCGTTTCTCTGCATTTGTTAACATTTTTGAAGGTTTTGACCAAAATGAAAAACTAGCCCAAATAAATGGTAACATTTTATTGCTAACAAAGTCCCTTGGTTTGGAGCTAGATGCAGGCGATGTGAATTACTTGATAGGTTACAAAGAGGGAGAACTTTCAAATGAAGAATTGATTGAGCTAAAAGAAGAACTGGAAGTGCAAAGAAATATGGAAGAGGAAGAACAAAAAAGTGTAGAAAGAGCAGAAAATATTTATTAAAAAATTTGCTAAAAAATTTTTAGTTATTAAAAACATTTCATCAAAGTTGGAAAGCATGGACCCAAATGTAGAACATTTTGGGAAGGTGAAACATGAAACAAATGAAATCATAAATTGTCATTGTAAAAGTACATGAGCAGAAAAAGAAAAATATTGTTCAAATCAAGTTTAATGATTTATTTTTTCCCCCAAATAATCACTCCACAACTTCAGTTTCCTCACAGTTGTAAGATCCTATCCCAAGCTTGGGAATATTTGATGATCTGTATGATCCTGGCTATCATATAACTGCACAAACAATTCTGAAAATGCAGAAAAAGTATCATGCAAAGGTTGTATATCTGATTTTGTTGTCTGATACTGTACTATTGTAAAGTATGATTTAATACTGTATATTTTGTGCACAATAAACTAACATTTAATAATTTGAGTTTTCACTGAACTTTGAAATGTACAATATTACACTTAAGTCAAGAGTCAGTTGGGAATCCTAAAGTTAAGACAGTTCACATCAGATCATCTCTCAAATGCACTGTTAGTTAGGTGGAAGCTACCATAACTTTTGCTTAACACCGTTTTTTGCATAACAGCCTGATCTTTGGACCCTAACCATATTGGTAAATGATTAATGAGTGACTGCTCATAAATCCATACCCTTTTCTCAATTAAGCATAAACTAGCTTAAAGCTTTAGATTCACATGAATGCTATTCTTGGCCACTGTAAAAGAATGGAATTGCTTCTTTAAACTCTTGTCATTGCTGTTCTAATTGTACTAAATTTTGAATTAGTGACCAGGCTTGTTATTGCATTGCATCTCATCTTTAGTGATGAGTATGATCAATAGGATCATTTCAGTAGATTTCCAATTTATTCATGGATTGATCAAGGCTCTATAAAAACAGTGGTGAATTTCTTTCTCCCACAATCAAGGAAGTGAATCTAGGGGAAATTTGCTTTTAAACTGTGCTCTAAAATCGTAATAGGTTTTTGTCTAGTTGAGTCACAAATCAGTGGAGTCATCCATTCTTGGTTCTGATCTAAAAGATTTGGGATTGGCAGGGAAGTCCTTTAACAAAGAAACATGATTGGTTTCACGGCATCAAAATGGTTAAAACAGTTCAGTCATGGCTGATGGAGCCGGCATAGCAACCAAGTCTTTTGCATATAGTAATTTTACTTAATTGGGAAAGCAGCCAGGTGTGGACACATTCAAAGCAGTATGGGGATGGCGTCCATCCTGGGATACTGCTGCTTGTTACCTACTACAATCAGAGTCCCATGCTTAAGAGACTTGGTTGCAATGCAGCACTTACACCCCATCAACCGTGACTTCACCATTTTGAATCGGTTTAGAGTCTTGGTTAATCTGTGCTGGATCATTGTCCAAAGAGGCACATTTTAATGAATTCGTTCGCCGGTGATTTTCAACAGTTTTGAAGCTTCATGATTTTGATGATTCTTAACTTTCAGTCCTCAAAGTATTCTGTCATTTTTACTTTTGTATGTTAACTTATACCTCAATATTTAAAAAGACAAATATACTTAAATGAAAGGGGAAAATGACCATTTTCTGTGTAACAACACCCTTCAACTAATTACACACACTCAAGGATGCTGTAAAATGAAGGAGAAGCATCAACAGATTATGCAGATCCTTTGTATTAGATCCTTTGGGGATTTAACATATTTTGACCAGAAAACTTATTAGTCCATGATTTGAATCCTACATTTTATTTTAAAGCAAGAAATTAATGTAATGAAGGAATTTCATTTGTGAAGGCCAGAGTAGTAATATTTCAGTGAATCTGTTAATACCCTTGCTGATCTGCTGAAGATCATGAAATGACAAAAAATGGAGATAAAATTGCTGGTGATGGAAGTGGAAAAAAGGGAAGACAACTTTAAGATAGACTTCTCTAGACTAATATGACAAATTTAGCAATGACAGTCTATCATAAGGACTTCTGCTGCCAGTAAGTGTTGAACTGCTAACCTCAAGGCTGGCAGTTCAAACCCACCAGCTACTCCACAGAAGAAAGATGAGGCTTTATGCGCCTGTAAATATCTACAGTTTTGGAAGCCCTATTTAAGGTCACTAGGTGTCAGAATTGGCTTGATGGCAGTGGGATTATGTCAATGATAGGAATTTCTGGTTGGTAAAATTATTTAAGTGCTCACCTAATAGCTGAAAGATTGATGGTTGGAGTAACCCCGACACACCTGGCCATCTGTTTCTGAAAGACCACAGCCTGGAAACCCCGTAGAACAGTTCACCGTAGGTTGCAGTTGACCCCACAGCAAATAACCACATTTCTGTGGTTTGAACAAATGTAACGATCTGTACTGAAGGAAGAGCCTGCACTTTGTAAAAGTGCTGCAGGTAGCACTCTCATCCAACAGTGATTATGAGAGCAAAGTGTTGCAAAAGTTTAACTTGACCCTGATGGCTCCAATAATGAGTGCTATAAAAATAAATGGCCAATTTTATCTACAAACTAGATGGCAGATAGCCCTAAGCAAGATACTAGTAAATGGAATTTATCGTAGTTGTCATCGAATGGAGTCCAACTCAGATTCAGTATACCATCAACGGTGAATTTGTTCCAGGATGAAAGGTTGATATAACTGTAAAAAATACAATTTTCTAAGATAAAAACCCTTATCAGCCCAGGACAAATGCAAGATTTAATAAACAGATAAAAGGAATCTATTTTATGACTAAAACCAAAATTCCTAGCAAACACAGTTTTCCTATGTTTCCTAGCAAAAATAGAATTGACATCCTTAGTCTCACAAAGAACCTCTCAAAAACCCTAAAACAAATGTGATGGTGGGGCACTGGAAGTGCCTCTGCAATGCAAACAGGAGAGGATGCAGGCTGCCGTGACCTCCTGTAACATTGTTCTGGAAACAAACCTAAAACACACTAAGGGGACTATAAAAGATTAGAAAACAGTCACAATCTTATCATTTTTCTTGGATGACTAGAGTATTAGAAAATATTTCCACTTCTGTTCAGATTTATATGTTGAATATGGTTTGCATCATTATCCCAGAGTGGAATTTTATATAACTTGACAAGCTGATTTGATTTTTCAGTGTTTGTATAGATGCAGTGGGGTCTCACTCACTGCCATTGACTTGATGCCAACCATAGTGATGCTGTAGGACAGGTTAGAACTGTTCTGTGAGTTTCTGAGACTGTACCTCTCTAAGGGAGTAGAAAGGCCCTTCCTTTCTCCTGTGGAGTGGCTGGCGGTTTTGAACTGCTGACCTTGTAGCTATCAACCAACGAGTAGCCATTACACCACTCCATATACATAGAGAGAAACAAATGGAAGGAATTTTTTTTTT